CCGCGGCGCCCGCTCCCCTCCCCCTGTCCCGCGCCCCGCGGCCGCCCGGCGCCCGCCCGGGGCTGGATGGTCGCAGAGGGCAAGGTGGCTCCAGGATGTTAGGGGCTGTGAAGATGGAAGGGCACGAGAGCGGCGACTGGAACAGCTACTACGCGGACGCGCAGGAGGTGAGGGGCGGGACCCGCGTCGGGTGGCGGGAGGGCGAGGTGGGCGCGGGCCGGGGGCACCCGCGGGCTGGGGGCGCCGCTTCGTTGCTTCGCTCGCCGCCAGCCCGCCCGGCGACCGCTTGGGCCGCTCGCAAGGCAGAGAGTTCCGGAAACTCTGGGATCTGCACGGCGCGCGCTCAGGACTTGCTTCTGCCCGGCGGAGCCGGAGCCCAGCGCAGCCGGCCCGGGATCGAGGTTGGCGGGCGCCGGGCGGTGGCACGAGTTGGAAGCAACTCTGAGAGAGCGGAGCTCGCCAGCCGGACGGCCTCTCAGCCCCGCTATTTAATTCGCAGGCAGCCTCTGATAAAAGCACTCAGCCGCCAAATTAAGCCTCTCGATAATGAAGGGATTCCTAAAATTTATAAAACTTGTTCTTCAAAAGCCCTGTTTGGGGAGAAGCGTGAGCCTTCCGCTCGAGAGCCGCTGGGTGGCGCTGGCGGGAGCAGAATCTTTTTTCCAGACTCGGGTGCAAGAACCTGTTTCTCTTCATTGTCCCCTCAGTGGCACGTTCACGGGGCTTATTTTACAATGTGCACAAAAGGATTGCGAGGAAAACCAGGTCTGGACAAGACCACCACCATTTTTTCCTGGAAACAGCTGAAAATTACCCCCATAGACGTTTAGTTACCGTTATTGAAAACATTTACTGAAATGGCTTTAGATAATTTTTCGGAGAAAACTCCAGAGTAAAATAAACTTCACTGCGTGAAGGCAGCGAATAGGAAAAAAAAAAAAAAAAAAAACCGCCCAGAACCAGGAAATGTTTTCATGCCAATTCATTTATTTAGATTTATATACTCAAGTTCATCTGAGTTTACACACGCAGATTACAGGGTGTTCAGTCTTATTTTTAAAAATGAAATTTGCTGGTAATCACAAATTTAGAGGCATCATTGTTCTTATCAGAAAAGTAGTTTTTAATATTTCTGGGCTCCGTATTTTTAAAATGCGTAATGCATTGCCAAGTTGCTATCCATAAAGGTTTTCACTTGCTGATGAATTTTAAAAGGAGCTCACAATTCTTCCAGGGGTCTGATTCTGATGCAGTCTTCTCCACTCAGCAGTGAAGACCCCTATCGAAAAATGTTTCTTCCTCATTTAAAACTTCGAATTAGGAAGTAGAATAGCATTAAGAGAAAGTCGAGTTTGATTTTGAAAATGTGAATTATTCAAAGCTACTCAAGGTAGTCAAGAGGCCAAGCTTTGAAATGCTTAGCGGCAGCATGATCAGCACAGGAGGGAAAATAAAGCATTGCGGCAAGTTGTGTCACCTAAATTTTCAAACATTAGGAAACTGAATATAGGTAATAAAATCAATGGAGATGTTTGAATGGTTTTGCAGAGCTGTACATGTAAAGTCCTGTTAAATTTTATTTAGTGCAGTGACACTTTTACACACCCCTCCAAGTCCTTTTTGTTAATCTGTTTTTAATTCTTTTCCAAAACATGTTAACTTCTGAGTTCATTTCCTTTTTAATAGTCCCGTTGCTACTAGCTGGTGGAAAGCACTCCTAAATATAATGTAGGCCGAAAAGTCATCGTTTAGTAAAAACTCCTGAGACAATAAAGCCAATTGTTGAGAAATGAATGCTGAGGGGCCAGGGTAGGGGCAAGGGGCCACGGATGAATTTTGCTCTGTCAAATGAGAGTTTCCTGCATCCAGGGGGCCCACCTGCCTCGGGCCAGGTGGGCACAGAGCTGGCACCCCGTTGCTCAGAGGAGCCCACTGGCTCTTTAGGGTGAACCAGCCAAGAGTCAGAGGTTAATTCTGTTTTTGGAGTTTTAACCAAGATTTGTCCCAGAGGGCGCTTAGCCTAGGCTGTTCTGGGTGGAGACTTGGGATACTGCCTGGCAAGGAGAGAGGTCACAAAGGAGCCCTGAGAGTCGGCCTGAGCTGGCGTGTAAGGCGATTACAAGTCCTCTCCGGACTTGTTTTCTGGGAGCGCTTCTCTTTCAAACCTGCAGCGCTAGGTTTCTCCCCCTGTTTTGCAAGACATCTTTGCTCTAGCTGGGAAGGGTGCCCAACAGCTTGTCCTGGGAGGCTGGGGATGGGGGAAACAGAGTGACCCTTGCTTTTTGGAAACACTCTATGCCAGTCGGGGTTGCCCTGGCCGCCATCCTCCTGTGCCCACCGCTAACCCCGCCCTTTGGGGCCTCTCCCTTCGGTGTCCTGCTCCAGGCCTACTCCTCCGTCCCGGTCAGCAACATGAACTCGAGCCTGGGTTCCATGAACTCTATGAACACCTACATGACCATGAACACCATGACTACGAGCGGCAACATGACGCCGGCCTCCTTCAACATGTCCTATGCCAACCCGGGCCTGGGGGCCGGCCTGAGTCCGGGAGCGGTGGCCGGCATGCCCGGAGGCTCTGCGGGAGCCATGAACAGCATGACGGCGGCGGGCGTGACGGCCATGGGGACGGCGCTGAGCCCGGGCGGCATGGGCGCTATGGGCGCGCAGCCCGCGGCCTCCATGAACGGCCTGGGCCCCTACGCGGCCATGAACCCCTGCATGAGCCCCATGGCGTACGCGCCGTCCAACCTGGGCCGCAGCCGGGCGGCCGGCGGGGGCGATGCCAAGACTTTCAAGCGCAGCTACCCGCACGCCAAGCCGCCCTACTCCTACATCTCGCTCATCACCATGGCCATCCAGCAGGCGCCCAGCAAGATGTTGACCCTAAGCGAGATCTACCAGTGGATCATGGACCTCTTCCCCTATTACCGGCAGAACCAGCAGCGCTGGCAGAATTCCATCCGCCACTCGCTGTCCTTCAACGATTGCTTCGTCAAGGTGGCGCGCTCCCCCGACAAGCCAGGCAAGGGCTCTTACTGGACGCTACACCCGGATTCAGGCAACATGTTCGAGAATGGCTGCTACCTGCGCCGTCAGAAGCGCTTCAAGTGCGAGAAGCAGCCCGGGGCCGGTGGCGGGAGCGGGGGCGGGGGCGGTTCCAAGGGCGGCCCTGAAGGCCGTAAGGACCCCGCGGGCACTGGAAATCCCAGCACCGAGTCACCCCTCCATCGGGCTGTGCACACCAAGGCGAGCCAGCTAGAGGGCGCGCCGGCCCCGGGGCCCGGGCCCGCCGCCAGCCCCCAGACTCTGGACCACAGCGGGGCGACGGCGACAGGGGGCGCCTCGGAGTTAAAGACTCCAGCCTCCTCCACTGCGCCCCCCATAAGCTCTGGGCCCGGGGCGCTGGCGTCTGTGCCCCCTTCTCACCCGGCGCATGGTCTCGCACCTCACGAGTCCCAGATGCACCTGAAAGGGGACCCGCACTACTCCTTCAACCACCCCTTCTCCATCAACAACCTCATGTCCTCCTCAGAGCAGCAGCACAAGCTGGACTTCAAGGCTTATGAGCAGGCCTTGCAGTACTCGCCCTACGGTGCCACCTTGCCCGCCAGCTTGCCTCTCGGCAGTGCCTCTGTGGCCACCAGGAACCCCATCGAGCCCTCAGCCCTGGAGCCGGCCTACTACCAAGGTGTGTATTCCAGACCAGTCCTAAACACTTCCTAGCTCCTGGAACTGAAGGTTTGTCTTCATGACCATGCTGGTAGCAGGAAAGAGGGGGGGGAGGGGGAGAGGAAAAAAAAATCAGCAAAGGAAACCACCCATACCAAACCAACAACAGCATAGTAAAATCCCAACTTTTTTTCATGCACAAATTTTCCCTAGTGCAAAAGACTGTTACTTTTATTATTGTATTCAATACTCTCTGTGTATATTATTACAAAGACAACCAATCCTGCACCAATTTTTCCTGCAAAGTTTAATAATCCACAAGTGTCTGTGTGTGTGTGTGTGTGTGTGTGTGTGTGTGTGTGTGTATGTAATCTTCTTCCACATCCCCCTTCCCTCTTGTCCTTCTTTCCTCTGAAGATCCATTCTGTTCTGCACAGGGTTTATTTAAAAGAGAAAAAAGGAAGGAAGGAAGGAAGGAAGGAAGGAAGGAAGGAAGGAAGGAAGGAAGGAAGGAAAGGAGGGAAGGAAGGAAAGAAGAAAGGAAGAAAGAAAATCAAGTTTGTAAAATATTTGTGCTTTTTTCCCTCCTCCCCTGACCCCACTACATGAGTTTACAGGTCAGTGGCAATACTCTTAACCATAAGAATTGAGACAGAGAAGACACAAGTAGACACTGGAGGCTCTTCAAAGTATCAGAAGACAGGTTGTGCAGCAAGACATAAATAGATCACACACATGAGACCATTTGTTTCTCAGCTTACATTTCCAATACACTCAGCAGATGTTTCCAAATGAAACACACATATATTGTATATGGACTTAATCATGCTCAGATATGTAGACATCCTCCATGTATTTACATAATGGTAGAAGTAATAGATAGGTAATGCACATGGTTCATTTCAAGAGTTGCCTGACCAAGAAGTTACAAGCACCCTCCTCCTGTCCTTCCTGTCCATTTATGGCCCCAGGACTCTCTTCCCAGGAATTGCTCTCCTCAAGAACTCTGCTCCTTGCTTTGAAGCCTGCCATGGTCATGCCATTCTGAGGTCACTTTAAGTAGTTTTTGTGCATGTATACCATTTAAAGGATTTTTTCCCCCAGACAAAAAAAAAAAAAAAAAGGAATATCACGTAGTTGGGGCAGAGAGATGTTACTGAGAGTTCTTTCTCAAAGTTTGGTCCAAGATTCCCAGAACCTATTGATCGTGGCCATTTTAATTATTGCCATGGTGTGCTTGTTTCATCCAGTGTTGATGCACTTTTCTCATGGTGTTAGCATAGACAGACGGGTTTCATTATTATTCCTTTTTGCCTTCTCAATGTTAATTTATTGCATGGTTTATTCTTTTACAGCTAAAATTGCTTTAATGATGGTTAATATTACAAATTGAAAATGTTAATTTTTACCAATGTGATTGTAATTAAAATATTTTGATTTAGATAACAAAAATAATACAAGATTTTAAGCCGTGAAATATGTTCTTGATCATCTGCAGTTAAGAACTTTAAATAAATCAAATGTTAACAAAAGGATTCCTGTCATTTTCCTTCACTTAATTATAAAATCCAAAATGGATCTTCTGAATTTAATATTTCATTAATTATGGAACTTGATATAAATGACAAACAGAAAAGTCTAAAACAAAACTGCTTTGTCTATGATTTCAATGAACATGTAGTTAATAAAAAGCAGTGAAAAACACTCAAGGTGGAGAGATAAATTGACTTAATATTCCAAGAACTAAGAATTTAAAACATTCCTTATTCTGTGTACTGTTTATTTCATTTTAGTTATGGCCTTAAGCTATGATTCCCTTGAGTTTTTCCACGATGAAACCAAATATTATCTCCTCTCCAGAAATGCTGATCTTCCTTATCTGAGAGGCATTCAAGGGAATAAAATATCAGCTGTGGCTGATAAAATTAAGTTGTCTACCACAAAGACTCCTGAACACTCTCCTCTTGTGAAAAGAGAAATGAAACTCAGCCCCCGAGGTAGCTTTGGAGGGAGAGAGGGGAGTTAATTCAGGTCTATAGAGAAGCCATGTGCCCCCAGGACATTTCAGGCTAGCTGCTTTTTGTGATGGTATTTAAAAAAATATTGTTTCTAAAAAATTGTTCTACAAACTTAACGCTGAAGATTTGTTTGCCTTCTAAGAAGCTTTCAAACACAACTTCACTCCCCCCATAGTTGCATGGGATCACAAAATCATTAATCTCCTTTGATAGCAGGCTCACTTTCCAGTCCACCTATTTCTTTGTAAGTCTTGTTCGGATTGACATCAACAATAACAACACCAGCCCTAGCACAGGCTGCGCTGCTGCCTGAGCCCTGCGTATGAACTCCATCCTGGCCAGGGCTTGAACTTGGACAGCCTTCACTTTGATCGCGCCTCTCCACACAGCGACAAGATAAAAGAAGCTGTGTGAATCGCTTAATTATCACGTAATTGCCTCCCCAGATGAGAGGAGTGCCCTGTTGCACTTGAGAAAAATCTAGAAATCTCCACTCCCTTCTGCTACGGAAAGGAAGAGGAAAGCGAAATGACTGGTAGCGTCATTTTAAAACTTAATTTGGAGGCCTCATAAAGTCGTTAAAAATCCCGAGAGGAAAAAGCTTCCAATCTCTGCAGTATCTCACAGTTCCATAGCGGGTAAACGTCGGCCAATTCGAATTCCAAATGCAATATAAATGCATGAGCTTGGACCTGGGCCTGGGCCTTGCCCCCGACCCGCGAGCTGAGCAGCGTTGGCTTTGCCACTGCGTCCGCAGAGCCGCCCTCCTCGTGGCCACATTAGCAAGGTGCCAGTGCGCTGCCTCCACGCACCGGCTTAAATCGGCCTCGTCTCTTGCTCTTTTAGTTGGAGGAGGGGTTTTTTTGTTTTTGTTTTTTTTCTAGGTTTGCAGGTGAGGTGGGCTAGGTGCCCCAGGTTCAGGGCCGAGGCCACTGTGGAATCCTCCCTGCCCGGGGAGCTTCTCCTGAGCCTCTCCGACCGCTCACTCTGCACCCCTGGGCGCTGCGCACGGCGACCCGCGCGTCCCCACGCGGTCGTATAGGAGCCCAGGGCAGCTGGTTGCCGGGAGGAGAAGGGAGAGAACAGAGCCGCCAGCGTCTCGAGGTGACAAGAGCAGTTAGTTCTTCATTGTTTGGGCATTTTCTCCTCCTAGCGAATAAATCTTCTGTTGAGCCGCAGACCTAAAAGTCAACAAAGAAGGCTGGGCGCCTTGTTACCGTCCTGCGGCCCCCGCGGCCTGCGTCCCCAGCCGCTCCCGCTGCGTAATCCCTTCCTCGGAAGCCGCGACACACAAATGCCGGGGCGCCCGCAGCCGGGACGCCGCGCTCCTGGGCCAGGAGGAAAACATCTGTGGCTCGGAGAGGGGACAGGGACCCTCCCGAGCGCGACCCCAGCCCGCCCCTCCCATACAGGACTCACAGTCCCCAAATATCAGCACCTCGTATGCGCCCGCAGGCAGGGGCGGGAAAGGGGTGCTCCCGGCCCCCTCCTTTCGGGAATTTCGCCCGTGGTGGGGGAGGGGAGGAGGAACGAGCGGAGAAAACCCTCCCTCGACAGGAGCCGAAAGCTCCGGTGGCCGTGGCTCCGCAGGCTACGCCGCTGGGCAAACACTTGCGGAACAGGGGTTCACAGGTTTTGGGAGTGAATACAGTATTGGGGAGAATTTCAATTGTTACTTTCACCTTACATGAAGAGCGCAGGTCTGAGACATTTTTTATATAGTTTGAAAAGAAAAAAAAACAAGGGAGAGAGAGAGAGAGAGAGAGAGAGAGAGAGAGAGAGAGAGAAATAACTCACCAGTTTGATTCACCAGAAACTAAGCAGTTGAGAAGTGTACACGAGCAGATCTGAGTCCCGTCCCTGTTCTACAACAAGGCTGATGGAGTATTGAAAGCAAAGATAAAATTTAATTTCCCCTGTCCCTTGGTGAGTCCACCACACAGCAGAATAAACTGGCGAGAATTATTAGGAAGTGAAAACAAAATCCTATTAAAGTTCTTAACTTTTGTGTTCATTTTCAAAAGACTGCATACGTGATTTCGTTGAAAGTGTAAAACGTTTTTCTCAAAAGTCTTAACAGAGTTGATTTAACCATCTCAGGAAAAGATGCCTGGAGTGATAAAATTCTAAAACCTTGTTGTTTTGGCATTTCAAAAATTGATCTCAGTTTCATGAAAATGCTTATTAAATTTCTTGGCAAAAACTGCCGCAATCAATACAAATTCCTTTCAATGCAGACGAAAGTAGGAGACCTGGAGCCCAAATTAATTAACCTTTCCTCAAATCAATTGGTTTTCTGTTGATTTAGCAGTAATATTGTAGAACATTTAGCTATAATGTATTTTAATGCGATACCTCTATATGTCATGAGAAATAAAATCTTAATGAAAAAATTGCTTAAATTATTTGATACTTAATAAATTTGTAAAATAACATTCTGTCTTCAAGAATTAAATGTTAGTTGCTTACTTCAGTTGTGGCAAGGTGTGTTCTGCAACCAAATGCAGTGCAAGAGAATGTCTAATTACTCCGGGATAATTATGTGCAAAGGGGATCAGTTTTTAAGCGATCTTGAGCTAAATAGGTAATCAAATCATGTAGAATTTAAAAAATAAAAATGCCCTAAATTGAAAGAAAAGTTAGCATCAATAGATAGGAAGAGAAGAGTGTAAGAAACTGAAACAACATGGGAGATGTGGTAACCTTCATTTTTAGAAATAGAATGTACTTGGGTAAATAGAAAGTTTTTTAAAGTAGCCACGTGCAAATTTTATTTTTCACTTATGATGCTATTTCATGTATCCAAGGAACATTTAACAACAGATTGCTCTGAATCTGAGCATTTCTTTTTTCCCTAAAAGTTGTGTTTGCGTCTTAGTTGTCCCATTGGTGTTTCTGGTTTTAGTTTACAGCCCAGCTTGGTTCACTGAACTTTGCCCAGCTGGTTCTTGGATCTCCCCTCCCCTCCCCCCTTTTCTCTAGCCCTCGTTCTAGTGACAATTGCTGGGCTAGAGAATACCCACATAATTCTATTTTAACATGTGAAATCCATGCATGTTCCTATGACAAACACTTTCTTAAAATCCATGTTCTAGATGGCGTTCTTTTGCTGGCTAACTTCCTCATGCCTGCAATTAGGACAGCTGACTGCACCAAAGGGACAGCAAAAGCCTGGTGAAAGGGACCTTCCCTTCTCCCTAAAGTGACCCTTCCCAGACTTGTAGTCACTACCTGCTGACAGTCATGGGATCTCTATATTCTACTTAACAAAGGGTACAGGATGCAGTGAGTCCCTCAACATCTGGGCAGGAAGGGGCTTAGTGGAATGGTGCTCACAGACTTAGAATCCAGGTGGGACACTGGACAAGTCCCTGGTGAAATCGAGTTCAGAACCTGGCCTCTGAGGCCGGCGACAAGTGTGAGGTTGTCTTTCTACTTCCCTCGCTCTTTTTGACGATTACACTTTAGGGGCTTTTCCAC